CGAAACAACTGGCCGCTGTGATACAATTGTATAATAATAATAATAATAATAACAACAACAACAACAACAACAACAACCACTCCGAGGAGCTTTACCTTGTCATGGTGGAGGGTCGTGCCCGCTCTAATGATCCTAAGGGATATGCTGAACAGGTACAACCATATCAGACAGGTCTTAGGTGAAGGGCCAGACAAAATTTGCTCCACAACCCATACAAATATGGTGAATGTGAAAAAAATGAAATTTATGCCGACTGAACCGTAGCCCGGATTAACAAGATAAATGAAGATAAACAGCAAGAAAAAAATCACAAAGTAGCGGGACTTGCAAATTGAAGTTGAGCAACTGTTGAAAAATAAATCGTGTGTTGTCCAGATTGTAATTGGAGCCGTTGGAGCAATAACTACCTCGCTATTTGGAAATTTTAAATTTATCAGACTTGAACATTCTGATTCTACCTGGAACAGCTTATATCCTCCAACGTTATCTTAACAGTTCCTAAGTCCTTGGTTAGGACTTGAGCTGTTGAGCTACCAACCAGCCCCAAAGACTGCGAATCTCATCAAAGATTAACCAGATAATGATAATAATAATAATAGTAATAATAATAAATCTGAAAAAATAGTATTTCAGAAATTTGCTGGCCCATGGAAAGGTCATTGATACAGCAATTAGAGGACAAAAAAATGGAACACATTTTAATAAAGGAACCCCCAGTGAAGTTCAACTCCATAAACCTTCATAAAATGGAAACAGAATTCTTTTTTAATTGCCATGTTTCTAACAACATGACTGCTGCCAAACGTCTGGTTAACCCGCCTTAATCTGGTATGTTTCAGAGAACTGAAACTGTATTACCACTTTGGTTTGCTATAGATGTTGACTCCTTGAAAACAAAACTTTAGTCACCTTTCCTCACAACCTGGTTTTGGGTTCTCTGGTTTTTATCATATCAAAACTTTCCTAATGTAAGTATGGCCTTTGCTGCTGGCCACAGTCAATATATAATATAAGCAAAGTATTTATCACAACCTACTTCAGTGATTACAGTGTTTTAAAACTTGAAGAATCCAAACTATTGGGAAAATACTTGATTGAGGAAGGCTGGAATATATTTATAAAGGGAATATATTTGTAAATACTTCATAAACGACAGCTGAAAGAAAGCATAGCTGACATCGATCAATAGAAACTAAGGAGTGATGTACTTTCATTGCACTTAATTAGCAAAGGGATTTATTTAAAGATCCTCTTAAACTTCTTTTGATTTGAGACAATTACAATAGCTCTTTCCACTCCTTTGCCAGTCATAACTTTTTAAATATTTTGGATTACAAATAGCCATAATATTCCTAATCACTGCAATAGCTGGTACAGTTGACCTATTTTCTGAAAAGAAAGGGTACCTCAACTTTTGCTAGCTGGTGTCTGCCTTTAGATCTGAATGGGTATTGCAAAAATCACACTTCATTTCTTTCATTTCCATTTTGTTTAAATTAAATATAATTAAAGTGACTTCTCACCAATAGCAATGCACTTACACATATATTCTGCCCCATAGTACTTTACAGGATCCTTTGGGTAGTTTATAATGTTAGCATATTGCCCTCAACAATCTTGGTCCTCATTTTACAGACCTTGGATGGATGGAACACTGAGTTCATCAGAATCAAACTCCAATCCATGGGCAATGTTATGTGCAATATTGCATTCTAACCATTGTGCTGCCAGGACCAAACACATATTTAGTGTACGCTTCCCATTATGTTCCTTGTAGTCACACTCTGCTGGTCACTCTCACTTTCTTTCCCTTCTCTATGTTCTTGTACAAAATTCATAGACCTGAATGGAAATATTTCTGGTCAAGAAGGCATGGGAGGGCTGTTTCTTTCCTCTTACTGCTTACATTAAAATCAGCCTTTCTGCCCTCATTGAAAAAGGATCAGGAATCTCACTATAAAGGCATGATGAAATCCTGAATATATTTAGATTCTGAATCAATGGAGAGTTAAGAAATAGAAGGAGAACATGAGTGGAGAAACCAATGTGATGTGAAAATTAAAGTTATAGTTTCCACATTTATTTATTTATCCTGAACTACTTGTAGTTTATACTCTTGTCTGACAAATTCTAAATTTCAGAATCCAATCCATGCTTCTTCTTTTATTTCAAGAGAATTTGGGCACATTACAAAAACTGTGGAATCCTTGGTACTGACTGAGCTTGGTTGTTTGCTTGCAGACATTTCATTACCAACTAGCTAATATCAGTGCAAGTGAGCAGGAAGCTTTCTCCTGGTTTATATACTGTAGCTTGTCTGCTGCTTTTGGTGGTAGTGGGGTTTTCTCTTTCACAGTTTCTTAATTAGGATATAGTTTTCTACTTGATTGTTTGCCTGGTGTTAATCCCTGCTTATCTGAATGTTGGCTGCTTGGGAAGTTCCTAGGTAAATGGATGTTACCATGACAGCAAAATACTGAGTGAAATCAATCTTTGGTGTAATGCAACGGAATCCTGCTGCTCTTAACTTCTTATGCTTTCACAAGAAAATACCTATCTTCATGATTAATTAGCATTTCTAATCCTGTCATATTCACTTTTGGGTTTTAAAAAAGAACTCACATATATACAATAATAGCAGCAGCCAAATTAATTTAGAGGAGGGATAGCGATAGAAATAGAATAGACTACTATATTATAGTACATTATTTGCTATACAGCATATCTGGTCTACAGAAGCTTTTTGGGCTCATCTAATTATTTTTTCAATATGATATTAACATTCGTTGAACATTTATTGTATGTCAGATTATTTTCATGCTTCAGTATTACCCTCATATGGTGACAATTTACAGATACTAGTTACAGAATGTTTGTTCCAAAACTGTGTTTGACTACAAGTTCAAAATATATTTGAACTTGTAGTCAAATATATGGTAACTGTCACAACAGGGTTTATAAACAACAAAAACTCTACTGCTCATCAGGGCAAAGAAGCAATATGTGTTCAGTTCCTTACAACTTTTCCTTTGTCTTCTTTCATTGTCTATTACTCTGGAAAAGACACCATGTAATCTGCTTACCTCCAAAGTGAGCTTTCAGTAACACTTCCCAAATTGAAGTCATGCAGCTTTGTAAGAATGAGAATCACCTAAGAGAAGAAAAGAAAGAGAAAGGGAACAGATGAAAAGCATCTTCCATTAGCTTTCATTTGAAATCACTCAAAGGAGAGCTTAATATTTATCCATACAATTTGGGGTATTATAGGATCAAGAAATGAATAGGGAGAAAACTTAGACTCTCAATACTATAACTTAATTCATCTTTGTAGATAGTAATACTTTATTATATTGTAGATACAAAATATAGTTAAAGGTATTGCTGGAAACATGCTGCCTTTCATATATATACATCTGTACATATTTCATTAACAATGCAAGCCTATGCCTTTGTTTAGTTGATGGAAGCACTACAGCATTCAGTTGAGTTCTTCTCAAGGAATTACACACTGATGTACAGTCATCTTACAGAAAGAACAATGAAAATTATTCTGGAACTTCACTGTATGTTCCTCTTCTTTGAAAGTCTAAATCAGAGGTTCTCAGCCCCTGGGCCACAGCCCATTCCAAACCAGGCCGCGCAAGTGATGAGCCAACATGCGTGGTTCCTCTTGTGTGAGCAGCAGACACTCATGCACAAAGTTTTGCAAATGGGGCTGCATGCGTGGAGCTATTCATGTGAAACTAACCCCTTCTCTTCCACCCACCCCCACTGCTGCCATTCCACAAAGTTGGAAAGATTGGGATCTGTGATCTAAACCATCCTGCCATTTTGACTCATTTGGGGTATAAATATTAATGCATTTGTTACCAACCCATGCTGATATCAAAATGACCAAATATGCATATGGTCTTACAATGCAAACTTCCACCTCTTCACAGCAACATCACCAAAGAGGATGCAAGCACTGAATATCCATTAAGATGTTATTAAAAATGTTTATCTTTTGCTTTTGCTTCCCTTGCAGATATCTATGTTTGCCACATATTTTTCTAAAAAAAGAAATCTTAGAAAAGTCAGCCTTGAAGTCATTACTTTAAAGTGGATAGCCAAAGTCATTTTCCCAACTTAATAAGTCGTTTCATCTACACTTGGATTACTCAGCTTTGGTATAATGGTCTACCAAATCTGCCTTGCAATTTCTCAGAGGAAGAATTGTAAGGAAGGCTTCTGTCTTTCTTTGCTTTATTTTCAAAGTGCCAAAGAATTTATTTCAAATTTCTCTTTTGTCTGCTACTGCTACTGTGGATAATGGTTTTTATTACTCATTTTCCCAACATTTTCCCAAACTTTCCAAGTTGTCAATGCTTCCCAATAGGATGTAATATCTTCAATTGGGATTTTCCTGATATGCAAGAAAAAAAGAGAGACTACCGGATGTTGGACATGAAAGATTAGATATTTGTTTTCTTAACCATCTTGAATTAAATATAATATTAAATTAATATATTTTTTATTAAAAATCTATTTGCTTTCAAAAGAACTAAAAAAAACAACTTTTGTTTCACCAAACTGAAAGATAAAGAGCACAGGGGAATTTTACTGCATAGCATTCATTCAAAGCCTGATCAGTTGTAAGACTAATAGTTAGCTCTTGCCAGGCAGAATAAAGTCAAGAGATTCATTGGGAACCTCTCCTATATTTCACAAATCAAATTTGTCTAGTTTCTAATTTCTGTTTTAGGGGGGCTTCCTGAAACTATGAGAGTTGTCCTGCATATGTGTTTAAAGATATATATCAAACAAAATTCCTAACATATTCTAATGGACCAATGCTCTATTTTGTCTTGTATAGCAGCTGTTAATAAAATGAAATCAGCCCAGAATAAGTCACAGGCATGTCACGTAATATATAGGTGAATGAATGGCTTTGTAATTGACGATCACAGATTCCGTACAAAAAGTATTGAGCAAGTAGTAGATGACTCACTCAGCTAGCTGAAACCTACACCTCTTTTTGCTGATTAGCACTTCACCATTCATCAATAGCTGTTATTTAAATCCATTTAATAGCACTGTATCATTGGTCTTTTAACAGACACAAATTGCTTAATTTAAGAATCCTGAGGCTAAACTGGATATGAGATGGATGAACGAATGGTCATATTATTGAATAATACATGAAAGTCATCCTTGGGTTAAGAACAAGTTTTGTTCCCTAATTCTGTTTTTAACCCAGTTTTGTGTTAAAGTCAGAACCTTTACTTACAACAGACTGCCTATTACTGATAATGATGCATGGAATTGTCTTTCCTCTAGTCAATAAAGCATTAAAGCTATATAAAGTTTTCAGGAACTGTATATTAAAAATGCCCAGCTTCAGTGCTTCATCAGTGCAAGGAATAACAAAGTCCTCAGCCATTTTTACTAATAGGTAGCCCCTTTATAACTAAGGGTTGCCCTTAAGTCAGATATCTTAAACTAGGGACAGTCATAGATCTGAAGTCCAGTTCATCTGCTGGGCTTCATTCATTTTAAGTAAATCCTTTGTTTCCAGTTAGTTACTATGCACTATGGCAGGATTACTCTCTGACAGAAGAAAAATGGTAGAAGTGGGCTTATTTTGTTTATTTGACCAGTCCAGGAGGAATAAAGAAACAGGGAAACCCACCAACAAGACGCTGTGATAAATGTGATCCAGACAGACCATTGGACTATCATAATAGTCTCAGTTGATTTTAATGGAGATTTTTCTCTTGAAATGCAACAATTTGGAGAAACCATTTTTATTCGGCTTGTAATAGGTAAGAACAAGCTAGACCTCTCTCCTGTTTCTCATACTGTAGACCTTTGGCTGCTCTGGCTTCTTTTTGGATGCTACAAAATAAAATATAAAATTGAACTATATTCATACAATTTATAGCACAACTAACTTTGGCCTATTTTTCTATAGATTAAGGCATTTTCCAAGCAGTTAACCAGCGCATGTACTAGACATCTCTGCTGAATATGCCTAATTTCTTCTTTTCCAATATGACATTCATGGAATTTCACCATCTCACAGTTGAAGGTAATGACAACACTTCCAGCTCTGCCTTAAAGTAAGTGACTAAGGAAATGAAATGAAATCTGAAATGAAAAAGAGCATGTATCCATGGAGGTGAAGCCTCAGTATCCAAATTAGGGAGAAACTAAGCAAAAAGAGCTTTTTAGCAATAAATCAAAATACTCAAATGGAACAGAGGAGTAATGCAGAAATGCTAAGGTAAATTCTTTTACAAGAAATTGTTCCATTTGTAAACTTTTGTGCTTCTAGTGCCATCTTGCCTTGCTTTGATATCTGGTTCTGCTTCACCAGTTGCTTTCCTGATTTATTGCCTGATTCAATTTATGAAAGCTCCTAGGTAGACCTCTGACAGTTTATAGACTACTGTATGCTGATTCCACTACCTAATTGAAATATCTGGCATTGACATTTATCCTTAGGCAGGTCAGAGTTGCAGGCAGAGTTCTGCCCAGGTGGAATTTATTTAGATAATTTTCTTACCACCTATCAAATTCAGATTGATATCGCTGGCAGTCTAACATTCATTTTCTCTCCTCATAATTTGTACCCATGAGAAATGTTACAGGAGAAAAATGTAACTGGTCATTCAAACTATAGCATATATAATCAAAACTTAATGAGATCAATGGGAACTTTATTTTTAATAAAGATATATTACATCCAGAGGTACAATTTCTAGAAATGGGAAGGCGGAGCAATTTGAAAATTATAAATAGAAAATCTACAGATTGTAATGGATCTGGCATTCCTCCATTTGGGTATTGAATGCAATGGTAAAACTGTGAACTTGAACTTCTTTTATACAATCCAATATTCTAGATAATGCACTATATTAGTTCTCACACACTGAGACATATGAATTAGTATACTAACCTTTTAAAAATGCCACCACTGCCATCCGATCCATATTGCAATATTCTATTAGAACATTTTGGAAAACCTTTTCAAGTTACACACACATTATTTCTCTCCTGCCCTTCTCTCTCTCTCCCCCCCTCCCTCCCTCTCCCTCTCTCTCTCTCTCTCTCTCTCTCTCTCTCTCTCTCTCTCTCTCTCTCCTGTCTTTAAAGAAGCAGACTTCAGAGAATGTGAAATTGTTCTTACTAAAAATGTGAATTCATTTATTTCCAAGAACTAGGGATGCAGGTTAGGAACCCCAAGTTTGAGGTCAATTTTTCACATAATAAATGATACACTGAAACTGTCTCTCACCACCCAAAGTAGACAAATGGCATCCCATTCAATTTATGACATTAATTTTTCAAGGTAAAATTATGTAAATAGTTGACTTATAACAATTCATTATGTGACGTTTAAAGTTAAAAGGGCACTGGTTTTTCACATGTACCACCGTTGCAGTATCCTCATAGTCACATGATCAATTTGTTGATTGACTCATATTTATGAAAGTTGCAATGTCCCAGGACCACGTCATCACCTTTTGCAACCTTCTGGAAAGCAAAGTCAATGGGGAAAGCCGATTCACTTAACAACCATCTTGCTAGCTTAATAACTACAATGATTCACTTAACAACTGTGGCAAGAATGATGATAAAATTCACTTAACTGTCTCACTTAGCAATAAAAATGTTGGACTCAATTGTGGTCATTAATCCAGAACTCTGTACTCTAGGATGAAATTCATCTGCATCAAAACATTTAAAATCATTTAAAATAAGCATAAATACAGAAGATACTGAGAAAGCCTTTTTCTCCCCTTGTTCTTTGCCAACTTCAGCTCATTCCCAGCTTTAGCTTTTCCAATATCCTATTTATTTATGGTTCCAGCCCAGGCTGTCTGCATGAGACTCATTTTTTCAGTATCCAATTATATATGTTTTCATAATAAGTGTTTTATCAATATGGACAGCTTTTAATTTGTATTTTGCCAAAATAGATCCTATTTTGAAGTAATACAACTTTTCATATTGACAAACCATATAATTTCTTTCTTTAGGAAAAAGAATCCATACCAAATTACTTCTGATGTTATCATCCTATTTTACCTATCATAATTTGTGACTGATTACACATAAAGAAAATTAGGACAAAGAAGGAAACCATTCTTCTGTCCCTCTTTTCCT